GGTAAGTGAGAGCATCTTTGCTGGATAGACTAGCAAGGGTGCTGGGTCAGTTTCTGCAGAGTTGGAGAAGGCAGAGACCATGACGGTGTGTTGCAGGGACAGCCAGGGCCCTGCAAGCTCATAGTGGGGCATAGGCTGTTAACGGCAATAGAAAAATTGTATTTGCTGACATCTCTTATTTATATCTGCCATTTTTCTTCTGATGTCTAGCTATGTCATATACATTAAGAATTATCAATTAGGAAAACAGTGACCATGTTTTCTACAAATACAAGATTGAAAAGGCTGCATTATTTCCTTCTTTCTACACTTGTCATTCTTACTCAGTTTATTTGTATCTGTAGAGTATGCATTTTTCCATGTGCAAAAATGCTGTGCATGTGTAATAGACTATTGACTTTATCATATATTTGAGTAAAACTGAAGAAATAATAAACAACGTTGATATTTGTGCAGAAATATGATAAATGTGTAACCATGGTACTCATTAAGTTAAAAGCTCATTTTGCTTCTGCTTTGGAAGAATCTGCCGAGTGTGTCTGACATTTGAAATATAAATAACTTATGAGATCTTAGAGATAAAACAATGACATACATTTATTTATTGAATTTTATCTGTTTTTAAAATGTCAGCATTGATTTGTAAATACATTGCTTGACATTGCACATTTTCAAAAGATTAACTACACCTTTGCAATCTTAAAATATTTTAAATTTTCTTTCTGAGTTTTTCCAGTTTATTGGGGAAAGAAGCATAAGAAAAAAGCAATAGAAATGTTTTGTTGTAGAGGTGACCTAAAAGATAAGTTTAAATACAGGGAATTGGGCACTGTGTTGAATGTCTCCATTATTAGCACATAAGCGATCTTAAATAAATGTCTATTGCATTAGACACTCTTTAAGACAAAGTTATCAGGGCTCTGCTTCAAAGGACAGGCTGGCAACATATTTCAGGAAGGATGTGATGATTCTAACGTAGACTTTGAGCTATGAGAGCAATATGGCAGCGAAGACTTGTGGACATTGTTCACTTCCTGCCTCCCCCCAGCCCTCAGAAATGTTAGGGGCGAGAAAGAAAGAAAAACCTGTGTTGCATATTTTCCAGGCACCAAATGGTATAAAAGGGCAATCTGATACTGCAAACTTTGGCTAATAAAACAAACTGACACAATTAAATGACCATGGAAAATAAACATTGTGGTTTCAAAGATTTATTGATGATTTACAGTGAAACTTTTTATATTAAGCACTGTCTTGATGTGGGACTGTTGCCTTCCTTTTTGTTTATTCAATAAGTATCTGCTGAGCACCTGTACCCACCAGGCACTGTTCTAGGTGTTGGTGCTTCAGTGGTGGACAGAGCCCCTGCACTCATACAGCTCTCACTCTATGGGTTGGGATGCAGACAGCAAATCAGCAAACAGACACAAATACACAATACAATTTCGAATGCCAGGTGTTTAAAGCATTCCACCTGTTTTTTCTGAGGTAGTGGGGCAAATAACTTTCTGCTGGCTTGATCCGTGCTAATTAGGACACAGATCTACATAGATCTACACAGATCTTACAAACTATGGTTTGTAAGAAACCATAGTTACTCAGAAATATAGAGGAGTATTTATATATTTATTACACATATATAATCAATAAGGATGCTGGGCATTTGATTTTTATTTTACTTCAATGACAAAATGGGTCTAGTAATATTAGTTGTCATAGTTACTAGTACCAATTTAATGTTAATTTACTTAACATTTTAGCATAGGAAAAGGGTTATGGATTTATTATTTGTAAATTAGAAACACAATAAAATCTAGTTAAATTACTTGTTCTGGTATAAGAATCAGCATATGTGAATTATTTTTGCATTTGTTTAATTATAATGAAGTTCTTGACAAAATGAGAGCTATTAAAGGCCCAGGGCAATGGCACCTAAACTTCAGCTTGTACTTAGGAATTGCCCATGAACACTGATAAAAGGCAGATTCTAGGGCTCTGACATAGAACATTCTGATTATTTTATGTGCTGATTTATTTATTATTAAAATTATTATTTTATATGCCCAGGAATCTGGGTTCTAAATAAGCATCCTGAGTGATTCTAATAAAGATGGTTCTGGATCCCCACGGAGACGCAGTCTTGTTGGGTTGTATCAGATATATGTGAGTTGATTTTTTCTTTTATTTCTCAATGACAGTCAAGCAATTCCAAAGGGAACAATTTTAGGAGCTCTCTGAGATAAGTATCTAGTGACCAGTAGCAGAATATATTTTACACAAAGAGTAATAGAGTAGTTTTATGCTGTAAGACCAAGTTCCTGGCCTCTGTCGCAGAGTAATGTAGGATCATTTAATTGATTACCAGGTGGACGCTAACCAAAAAAAGATAAATATTTGTAGAATTAGAGAAATACTGTACCGAAGTATAAAGTCTAATGGTGTCTGGAATTTTCTTTTTCTTTTTTTTTTTTGAGATGGTATCTTGCCCTGTTGCCCAGGCTGGAGTGCAACGGTGTGATCTTGGCTCACTGCAACCTCCACCTCCCAGGTTCAAGCGATTCTCCTGCCTCAGCCTCCCAAGTAGCTGGGATTACAGGTGTGTGCTACCATGCCAAGCTAATTTTTGTATTTTTAGTAGAGATGGGGTTTCACCATGTTGGCCAGGCTGGCCAGGTCTTGAACTCCTGACCTCGTGATCCACCTGCCTCAGCCTCCCAAAGTGCTGGGATTACTGGGATTACAGGCATGAGCCACCATGCCTGGCCAGCCTGGAAATTTCAAAATGGTCAATCAGAGTAATAATTTTAAATGTGCTACAAAGTAATACTGTACTCCAAATAAGTTATGCATTCATTTGCTTAACTTTCATCCATGAAATCTTTAATTACTGCTTGTACTTTTGAAATCCTTTCCTACTGTGCAGTTTGTAAAAGCTCAAAATAGATACTGACAGCTAAAAGTAAAATAATCTAACCACATTATATTTCAACATTTAAGAAGAAAAAGTTCAAAACTAGTTGTTATCCTGTTTATTTCTGTAAATGCAAAACTCTCTTAATGCTTTTAGGTGAAGTAGGCCCAAATAATAGGCTATGTTCTGTCATGTCTGACTAAAATAAAAATTCAGCTTAAGGAACCTCCTTTTGTGACATTATTTGTTCTACAAAAAGTACAAAAGTTAGCTGGGCGTGGTGGCAGGCTGAGATTGTATCTCCATGCTGCTTACTCTAGGTTGCAGTATGTTCCCAACACACTTTAATCGTTTTGAAATGGTATTTCAATTTTTCCTTCAGTTTGTATGCTCAGCCACCTGTATGTTTTCTCTGCACGTTTCCAAACTGAAAGAAAGGATTTTTTTTTCTAATAATGTATTAATAGAGAAATCTAGATTTTTGGATTAATATTCTTTAATAGGCAACTAGTTGAACAAAACGGGTTGCTCTCTGATTGATTATGATTCCCACTGGAACATTTCCCCAGGTTGAATGAAGGTCCAGGTTTTCTTTTCTTATTCTTCTTTCCATCCTCTATTCAGTTTCAGCTAAGAATCTACCAAACTAAAATTACGGTGACCAATCAATTTTAGGCAGGAAGGGGCTGCACTGATTGGCTCAACTGCTTCCTTTTCAGAGAAACTAAAGCCCACGGGCCCATTTACCAAAGCGGGTGTGTTCTTATCCGTGTTTTCTTAATTTTCAAGATTCCAGACAAGTTATAAAGCAAATGGTATAACTGCTAGCTGATGGGAATTTCTGGAATGGGATTAAGTGTGAGGAAGACAAAGGCCTAGTGGTAAGGTCAGCTCTGGAGGTAGATTTCTTGGATTCCAATCAACTCAGTTGTGTGTTGTTAGGCAAATTACATAACTTTTCTGTGCCTCAATTTCTTTGAAAGAGGGTGTGTAATAGTATCTATCTCACACCGTAATTGTGAGGATTAAGTGAGCTATTCTACCAAAAGTATTAAAACATGCAGTTAAACTCTCAGTGAACAGTATTTTTATACAAATTACAAACTGTCAAAGCCTTAAGTCTTGAGCTCTCTAGGAGAGTTAGGAACCCTCCTATGGCATTGTCTTCTAAAAATCTGCTGCATAAAGTTGGTGTTTGCATCAACTTTAGAGATCAAATGGATTACTTTTATGAAGTCTGGGGCAAATGAATTAGACACACACAGGAACCCCCTCCCCCAACACACAGAAGGTATGTGGATACGGAGAATTCAAGTCTGAGGGTGGCTGTGCTCAACAGATAAAGGGATGCTTAGAAAACTGCCGTTTTTGGCCAGGCGCGGTGGCTCACGCCTGTAATCCCAGCACTTTGGGAGGCCGAGGCGGGTGGATCACGAGGTCAGGAGTTCAAGATCAGCCTGGCCAAGATGGTGAAACCCCGTCTCTACTAAAAATATAAAAATTAGCCAGGCATAGTGGTGGGCGCTTGTAATCCCAGCTACTCGGGAGGCTGTGGCAGATTATTACTTGAACCCGTGAGGCGGAGGGTGCAGTGAGCCGAGATCTCCCCATTGCACTCTAGCCTGGCCGACAGAGCAAGACTTCCTCTAAAACAAAACAAAAAACTGACCTTTTCAGGAGGAAGTCGGGACCTTCAGTGAGGATGGCTGGCTACCAAAGAACTGAACTTTAATACGTGAGTTGGTCTCCCTGTGACCACAGATGTCCAACGCAGGCCCACCTCCCACCGCCTGGAAGGCCCAGGTGTGGCTGGAGGGCGACTGAAAGGGTCAGAACACAGGATTATTCTCAACTTTGGGCTTTTACACAGCAGTTTCAAAGACAAAGGGGCTTTTCAGGTAGATTTGGTTTGCCGTCCTGTCCTCCTCCTCCCAGGTCTGAGCTTGTTCCCCAAGGTCCCCAGCCATGCTTGGGACGTCCTTCAGTTCGCCCCATTTTCTTCGGGCCACCCCGCGCCCCTAGGTTGTCTGCTGTCCCTCCTAGCGAGAGGTGGATGACCGTGACATTCCAGGGAGGAAAAACGGAGGGGTGAGGGGGGGCAAAGACGCCCTTCTGACCTCCTACCTCGGTGACGCGTCCCACCACGCCCGCGAGGAGCCCTCAGGCTACGCCCTCGCCTCGCTCACTCCCCTTGCTCCGATCCTCGGCGGGGGGAGGGGCGCGGTGCGGCCGGCGCTCTCTGATTGGCTCCCGCGTCGGCGATCCACGCCACGATTGTTCCCTGCGACCGTCTGGCGCCAGCGCACTGCAGGTGGGGAGCGGGCGTTGGAAGTTGCTGGAAGTTGGAGGCAGGGGAGCGGTCACTCGCGGCGAGCGCCGGCGGCGCCCAGGGCGCAAAGTTGGGAGCAGTCCCTAGTCCGAGCCTTTCAGTCGCCCTCCAGTATCATCAGTACCACGGACTTCACCATGGACTTACCACTTGCTGCGGCCCCTTAGCAACCCAGTGCACCTGCCACTCCAGCAGGTAGGTACGCCGAGGCACCCGGGTGTCGGACATCGCGCCTTCGCCGCCCTTTGCCGCCGCGGTACTGCCTGAGCGGGGTGCCTGGGAGAGCTGTGGGGATTGGGGCCGGTCGCTCGGTGCACTCCTCCCGCCGCCCCTGGAAGGGAGGCGAGGACAAGTTTTTTTTTTATGGGAGAGCCCTCGCTTCGAGCTGCCTCCTCCCTCCTTCTGCGGCGTGCGCCTCCAGACCCTCATCCCCCGCCAGGGCCGGGCGTTGGGGCCGGCGACAGCCCCCGGGTCTTCATATAGACTTGAGGGTGTGCATGCTGGTCCCTGCCCTCCGCGGCAGCGGGGCTGGGACTCGGTGGTCGGGTCCCGCAGCCGCCCTTGGTGCGCACGGGCTGGGGTGTAGACGGGGCGCGGAAGGCTGTATTTCGCAGAGGCCTGAGTGGTGGTGCTTGCCCCGAGCGTGGCTCTGAGCGACCACCGGAGAGGCTGATGCACGGGTCTAGGTGTGAACGGTGCATTAGAGATGGCGTTGATGGGTGCGAGGGGCACAGAGAGGCTTAAGTGCTACTGCACTTTGGGGACAGTTTGCGTTGGAATGTGGTTTAAGGGAGACAGAGGCAACAGTTTCGAGAAGGCAGAGAGGTTATGAAGGTAAGTCAGAGGGAGTTATTCCCAGGATTTTAGCTGAGAAAGTTGCAACCTTGTTGATAGAAGCAGCCACCTTTACTTCCTGGCCCAACCCTCAAAAAAGCACCTGGCAATGTCTATGGAAGGGTGGCATGTAAATGAGGCCAATCGAGTTTGATGGTTAAAGGGCCTAAGGGTTACTGAGAAATCAACAGTATTGCGACGGGAAAAGCAGCGCCAATTTTATTCGGCAAAGAAAGTTTGGAAATATTTTATTGTGAGAATTGAGGATAAGATTTAAGGAAGTTGTTGATGGGGTATGTGGTGGGTAGAGTTAGGTGATTGCTCTAGCCTCAGGCTAAAAGGTAGTTGACTCTGCAAATTTTGCTTACAATTATTTCAAGCATACTTAACCTAGAAGTAAGTATTTGCACTTTACACGGGATACTCATTCGCGGTCCTTAGCTAGAATGTGCTCCTGTTGTTTAGTCTTCATGGATTTCATTTATAATACAGGATTCCCCCTTGTCCAGACGACTTTTCCTAGCAGCGAGCTGGAAACCTGACATTAGGGTACAGGCTGCCCTGTGCTTTACTGCTTAAAATAAAAGTATGTAGAAGGAGTGTAAAATAATTCTGCCTTCTGTTAAAATCTCGTATTGCAGTCATAACTTCCAGTTAAATAGTAAAGTACCTATCCCCACCTATCTTGAACAGCAGTTATAATGTGTATCATGCGAATAAAGTATTGGTAGTGAAATTAATCGTGTATTTGAAGAAAATACTATTCTCTGTTTATTAATAAATTGATCAAAATTTAGGGTTTTTCATCTTCTCAGCTCTGTGGAGGATCCTGTTTTCCACACTGACATGCAGTGTATGACCTTATAGCATATCAAACTCCTGACTTAAATAGGCTGCTTCCAGTGTATCAGCAAATGCAAACATTTTGCTGATGAGGAGCAAGGGAGATACACGTATACATTTACATTTCTTTTAGGGAGACAAGCATGTATTCACATTCTGTCTCTTCCCCCTCTTTCTTTCCCTTCTGCCAACCCCATGTCTGCCATAGGCTTACTCCGCCCCTTCCCATGCGGCAATATTTTCTTTACTATGCTAATAATACCTTTTAATTTATATAATGCATATATGTTTTTAAAAGTGATTTGATAGTAATGAACTCATTTGAACATCTCAGCAACCAGAGAAAGTTCTTTTCAGTACTGAAATAAGCAGGAGAATCAAGGGAAGGAGATAGGACTTAAAACATTTTTGACATTCTTCTTTATTTAGCCAAAGGTCTTGAGTTGGTACCTTGGGACTACTGTAAATTTGTATAGCCGCATATAGCCCTAATTTGTGAAGTACAGTCGTGTACTGCATAGTGCATAGTGAGGTCATGAGACCTCATATATGATGCTGGTCCCATAGATTATAAGGGAACTGAAAAATTCCCGTTGCCTAGTGAAGCTGTAGTATTCGTAATGTCTTAGGGCAACACGTTACTCATGTTTTTGTGGTGATGCTGGTGTAAACAAACCTACTGTGCAGCCAGTCCTGTAGAAGTCTAGCATGTAGAATTATGTACAGTACATACTTGATAATATTAAATACATTACTGGTTTGTGTAGTTTCTGTACATTTTATCATTGTTTTAGAGTATGCTCCTGTTGACTAAAAAGAAAAGTTAACTATAGAAGAGCCTGAGGCAGGTCCTTCAGGAAATATTCCAGAATATGGCACTGTCATAATAGCAGATGACAGCATGTTATAGCCCCTGAAAGCCTTTCAGTGGGACAAGATTGGGGGTGGAAGACAGTGATATAAATGATCTGGACCCTGTGGAGGCCTAGGCTAATGGGTGTGTTTGTGTCTTAGGTTTTTTTTTTTTTTTCCTAAGACGGGAGTCTCACTCTGTTGCCCAGGCTGGAGTGCAGTGGCATGATCTTGGCTCACTGCAATCTCCATCTCCCTGGTTCAAGCAACTTCCCTGCCTCGGCCTTCTGAGTAGCTGGGATTACAGGTGCACACCACCACACCTGGCTAATTTTTTTTGTATTTCTAGTAGAGATGGGATTTCACCATGTTGGCCAGACTGGTCTCAAACTCCTGACCTCAGGCAGTCTGCCTGCCTTGGCCTCCCAAAGTGCTGGGATTACAGGCGTGAGCCACCATGCCCGGCCTGTTTGGTCTTAGTTTTTGACAAAAAGTTTTAAAATTGAAAGTAAATAGAAAAGAGCTTATAGAATTAGGGTATAAAGAAAGAATATTTTTGTACAGCTGTGCAATATGTGTCTCAAGCTAAGTGCAATTACAGAAGAGTTAAAAAGTTTATAAAGTAAAAAAGTTACAGTAAGCCAAGGTTAATTTATTATCTAAGAAAGAAGAACTTTTTAAAAATAAATTCAGTGTAGCCTAAATGTAGAATATTTATAAAGTCTATAGTAGTGTACAGTAATGCCTTAGATCTTAACATTCACTCACTCAGAACAACTTTTAGTCCTGCAGTCTTCATTCATGGTGAGTGCCCTGTATAAGTATGCCATTTTTTATCTTTTATGCTGTATTTTTATTGTGCCTTTTCTATGTTTAGATACACACATAGTATTGTGTTGGTTACTATGGTATTCAGTACAGTAAGTTGCTGTATAGGTCTGTAACCTAGGAATAATAGAGTGTACCATCTAGCCTGTGTATGTAGAAGGCTAGATTGTCTAGATTTGTTAAGTATACTGTGATGTCCACACAGAAACGGAATTGCCTAATGATGCATTTTTAAGACTGTATCCCTATCATTAAGCAACATATGAATATATTTACAGTTGTTTTCTATTTGGGCAAGTCTTGGGAATATTTGATTATTACCACACAAGCCTTAACTTTTCATACTGATAATACATTGTTTCTTTGAAGCACCTAAGAATTTACTTTCTAGTCGATGAAGTTCTTGGAATAACTGAAAACTCATATTGTAAATTTGGATGAATAAAATCATTTAGCTATCATTTTAAAGTTGAACGTTTTATAGAACATAGAACATTTTTATAATGTAAATAGTCCAAGTTGAGAGAAAGCTTATGAATTTGTTGTAATCAGATAGTGTGAGTCAAGAGAAAAAAAGACACATCACGAAATGAAAAGTGCAAAAATATAACTTACCAGTATGTTAATTTGGTCTGAGCAAATTAACAGTGTTTTGAAAAATTAGGAAATTATAAAAGTAGTTATTTGGTGTCAGATGAAGAAAAGAACTTTAGTGTAAGCAAAACAGTTAACTTTTTACTAGAGTAAGTGTAGAATTTATGAGACGATAGAAATTGTTGATCTGTATGGAATGTAAGAATATGCCTTGCAGGGCCAGGTAGTGGAAAGGAAGGGCATGTTTTGCAGTAAGGCTGAAGCCAAGGAAGGAAAAGGAGCAAAAGATCTTGCTGTAGGCTCCTGGATTGTTTAATCATTACTGAGAAGTCCAGAGTGACCTTGAGGTAGCCATAGTATTTGTTCAGTAGGGCTTAAATCTTAATAAAAATATAGAATCTATTATTAAGTGAGGTTACACCATGCTATAAGATAGGAAGTATCTAGCATCTGAGGTTTGCTTTTGTAGGCCTTGCTTTCCAAATGATTTTATTTCTAGGGTAATGTTTAGTAGGTGGTTATGATTAAAGGAATATATAGAGAGAAGGTTTTGAGGAAGGAATTGGACTAAGGGAGACCTGTGCCATGAAAAGGGCCAGATATGTATTTAGAAGACACCAGATATCATTGAATGTATTTGTATTTTTTATTAGTTTCTGATGTGCTGATGTTCAGTTCATCTGTAACTTAAAAAGTAAGGTGGACTGGGTGCAGTGGCTCATGCCAGTAATCCCAACACTTTGGGAGGCTGAGGCAGGTGGATCACCTGAGGTCAGGCGTTCCAGACCAGCCTGACTGACATGGTGAAACCCCATCTGTACTAAAAATGCAAGAATTAGCTGGGTGTGGTGATGCACACCTGTAATCCCAGCTACTCAGGAGGCTGAGGCAGGAGAATCGCCTGAACCCAGGAGGCGGAGGTTACAGTGAGCTAAGATCATGCCATTGCACTCCTGCCTGGGCAACAAGAGAGAAACTCCATCTCGGGGGGTAAAAAAAGTAAGGTGGAATGAAGTATTTCATAATATGTTCGCTGTTTGTGAGTGGATTCTTTTTTTATAACATGTAAATATATTTGACACTTTTGCATTTCCAATTTCATTTGTGTTTTCACTAATGTGTTACTTACCCTAATAGGGAACTGAATTTTTTTCATCTGGTTTAGAAGGCAATACATTTTATTGTATAAAATTTATAAAATAAAAATGTGTAACTGAAAGTTTAAAAAATCACTCATTTTCCTTCACTCCAGAGAAAACTTTTGTTAATTTTTTTAGAATGCATGTGTGTATTGAAACAAAATTGGAGTCACACTGAATATAAAGTTGTTGTAATACAGCCACCATATTGTGAGGAAGCTCAGGGCATATAAAGATGCCTTGTATAGGTGTTCGAACCTGCAGGCCCAGCTAAAGTCTTAGGTGACAGCCGGCATACACCATCTGACATGTGAGTGAGTGAGCCTTTAGATAATACCAGTCTCTGGCTGATGGCAAATAGAGAAGCAATGAGGTATCCATGCTGAACCATGCCAAATTGCAGATTCCAGAGCAAAAGAAATGTTAGTGTTTGCAGCCACCAAATTCAAGGGTACTTTTTAGGCCATCAGATTATTCATTTTGCAATCATGTATTTTAAAACAATTGTAATTTAAGTATAACATATATGGTGAAATGCATAGACCTTAAATGTGCAGTTTGATCAATTTTGACAAATGTGTACATTTGTGTAACTCATACTTTGTATCCCTTGTAAAGGTGAACATAGTAGACCAGAGGGAGCAAGGTATAAATGTTAGATGATTGGTGAAAGAGATTGGGAGGCCTTTGGTTATAATAAAAATATGATAGGAAGCCATCGGATTTTTAGAAATACACTTTGTATTTTAGAATAGTTTTAAATTTACAGTAAGTTGTGAAAATAGTAGAGACTTCCCAAATAACTTACATCCAGTTTTTCCTGTTAACGTGTTACATTAGTATTGTCATTTGTCACAACCAGTGAAACAATATTGATACATTATTATTGACTAAATTCTTTTCTTGATTCATTTCTTTAGTTTTTGCTTAAGGTCTGTATTAGTTAGCTGCCATAATAAAATACCATAGACTGCATGGATTAAACAACAGAAATTTATTTTTTCACAGATCCGGAGACTGGAAGTCTGAGATCTGGGTGTCAGCAGGGTTGGGTTCCAGTGAGGACTCTCTTCCTGGCTTGCAGAGGGGCACAGTCCCCTTTCCTAGGTGTGTGCTTTCAGTGTGACTGGTTATTGTTGATGTTAATTTGGTCACCTGGCTGAGGTAGTGAAGCAAGATAATTTCCCTGACCCCTTTGCTGGCAGGAACTGGGATGTGGGTGCCAAAAGTAGCCGGCCACTTAGGCGCTGGCAGGGGCAGACCCCACAAACTGGAACCCCCTGTGCTCAACCCCCTGTGGGAGGGAACACGCAGGTAAGTGAGTGCGGGAGCCGGGTTGAGTGCTTTTTGGTGCTGGCAGGAGCAGAACTCTGTGTGGACCCTGCAGCCCTAGAAGGAGTGTTACAGTCAGTACTCTTTTAGCTTTGCCATCCATGGACAGTTTAAATGCTAACAGCTCAGTGAAAGGTAAATGTGACAGCCTCTTGCACCTGCCTGGAAGAGAAGTGGCTGTTGGAATATGAGAAAGGGTGAATATGAAAGATTTTCCTTTCAACTGTGTTAAGTTTCAGATGCTTGCTAGACTTTGAAGTAGAAATGTGGAGACCATTGAAAATGTGAGTCTGGAGTTCAGGGTATGGGGCAGGACTCAAGATTCTATTTGGAGGTTGCACATTTTATCATTAAAGGATTCCATTGTATTTTTCACAGTAACAATTTCATTTGATGAAGTAAAGAGCCTATAGTGATTTGAGTAGGATGAGAAAAATTTGAATCAAACTTGTTTTTTTCTTGAAAGCATTGTGAATAAAAATAAGAGTAAAATATAGGTGATTTTCAATCAGCATCTGTGACCCGTCTGTATCTGATCTGAGTCCCAGCTGATATAGCCAGTTGAACAGTAGAAAATTCAGAATTTGATTTGCATGTCTTAAAGCTACTGAGGAGAAGAATTAGACATTTATTTTTTTCCCCCTAGAAACTATGTGCATATATTTTTAAGCCTTACCTTTTTTTTTTTTTCTTAGAGGGAAACCAGTCAGGAGTGGGAGGCCTCTGAACAAGCTGTATTCTGTGTAGCCGCCAGCTTCCATCTTTCTCCAGGCAGAACGCTGGCCCTCAGCACCTCTTTCTGCTTCCCTTTGGTCAGACCACTGAGGACTGCTGCTGTCCTGTCTGATTCCTCCTGTTTTGGTGAGTAATAATAGGGAAGCTGAGGGTTTGATATTATTTGGCTCCATATTTTAAAAAGATATTTGGTAGTTATATAACGTTACATCTAATTTGATCAGTACCACTTATAACTAAGTTGTTGTACAGAAATTGATCCTTTATTATTTAGAAAATATACTTTAAATAATATTGGGAGAATTCCTGGTTCTTTCCTTTTCTCTTCCCTCTCCTTTCGTTCTTTATTTATTTTTAGAGCTTTTTGTACTGGTACATATTCCCTTTCCTGGGGAGTTGATTTTAAAAATTAGATTTGCAAGAGGCATGCTTTTGGAGGATGATGAAAGCCACTTGCACTCGAACTTAAGGAAAATTTTTAAAATTTCCCTGTGTGCCCTTTTCAGATCCCATCCCAGAGAGGAGTGACTTCTGCAATATTGTGTTATTTCCTTCCTTTCTTCATAGTGTTGTCAACAAATTAATATATGTATATGGTAATAAATATGAAATTTGCCATCTTAACCATCTTTAAGTGTAAGTTCAGTAGTGATAAGTGTATTCACAATGTTGAGTAGTAGATCTCCAGGACTTTTTCATCATACAGAACTGAAACCGTATATTAATTAAACAAATCCCTATTTTCCCTCAGGCCCAGCCGCTGGCCTTTTGTTTCTATAAATTTGACTGTTCTAGATACCTTATATAAGTGGAATTTTACAGTGCTTGTCTTTTTGTGAGTGGCGTATTTGAGTTAGCATATGTCTTCAGGGTTCATCCATGTTGTCACATACGATATATGTTATGTGACTCATAAAAGCCAGAATTTCTTTCCTTTTGAAAAACTGAATATTGTTCCATTCATAAAGTTCTTAATGTTCATGTTACTAAATTTATAACGTTCATGATTTGCAATATTTTTATACCTAGTTTAGGAAATTCTTCTATATCCTGAGATCATAAAGATAGCCTTCTGTATTTTTAAGAAATATATATTTTTTGTTTTAAAACAATAATAAATTTACAAGAAGGTTATGAGTACAATTCAGAGAACATTTTCTTTTTCCTGAACCATTTGAGAGTAAGTTGCTGACTTGATGACCCATCGCTTCCTAATAATTTGTGGTATTTTCCTACAAACAGGACATTCTTCTGTGTAATATTAAAATGACCATCAAAACGAGAAAATCAATACATTTCCATCATCACATCTTTGACTTTATTCAAGTTTTATCAGTTATCTCATCAAATTATGTTTAGCAACAAGATCTAGTTTGGAATTACAGGTTGCATTTAGTTCTCATGTCTCTTTAGTCTCCTTAAGTCTAGAACACTCCCTTTATTGAAGTGAGATGTATTCCCTCCTCTTCTGTTTTCTGGGAGGGATTGTATAAAATGAGTGTTAATTATTTTTTAAATAGAATTCTCCAGTGAAACCATCTGGTCCTAGAGATTTCTTTCTTTCCTTTTTTTTTTTTAGATGGAGTTTTGCTCTTGTTGCCCAGGCTGGAGTGCAATGGCACAATTTTGGCTCACTGCAACCTCTGCCTTGCAGGTTCAAGTGATTCTCCTGCCTCAGCCTCAGTAGCTGTGATTACAGGTGTGTGTCACCACGCCTGGCTAATTTTTTGTATTTTAAGTAGAGATGGGATTTCACCGTGTTGGTCAGGCTGGTCTCAAACTCGGGACCTCAGGTGATCCACCCGCTTCAGCCTCCCAAAGTTCTGGGATTACAGGCGTGAGCCACTGCGCCTGGCTGGCCTAGAGATTTTTCTTCCATGAGATTTTCAATTACAAATTCAGTTTTCTTAACAGTTAGTTATAGGGCTATTTAAATTCATATTGGGTGAGTTGTAGTAGTTCATGCTTTTTCTGGAATTGGTGGGTTTCGCCTAAGAAATTCTATATTAGCTAATCTATGTGCAGTTTTATTCTTCTTACCTTATATAGACATTTTCAGTGAAAAGATAATTAATATATGTATTTATAAAAATAAATGTATATTTTATATCTGTATCATATAATTTTATATCTGTATCATATAATTTGGATCAGGCTCTAGATGTAGCCAGGACATGAGTGGCAGGCTATATTCGGCACTGATGGGAGTCTCAGTGACCTGTAAAGCCTGTGTCTCTCCACACTTTAGAGTTTGCTGTGCATGAGTTTCTGACCATGTAAATAGCTATACTGTGGCTATACTGTGCAGATAACTCATTCTATTTCATTTTTTTCCATGACTTATTATTCAAAATAATGTGATACAATGAAAATCAGATTTGCTATGGTCCCTGACCTCAGGTTTGCTTAGAGTCTCTGTAGGGGTTACAGAGAAGTAATTAGGAAATCAGAAATCAGTGTGGTTAATGTTCTGATGAGGAGGCAACAGGTCCTCGTGAGAACAGAGAGAAGAGGTACCTGTTTTATTCTCTGCATCTCTAGTACCTAATACAGTACCTGGCACATAGTAGAGTCTCACTAAATCTTTGTTGAATGAATGAATAAACTCAGCTGGGTGATCACAGGGTCGCTTTTGGGGAGAACTTATGTCTGAGCCAAGTTAGTGATATCTACAAGCAGTAGATGAATGGAGGTAATTCTCTCATGTGGATGCATTAATATTCAGTGTCACAGAAGAATAGAAAGCTTAGCAATCTAAGTAGTTACCTAAGCTGTCTATTTGCAAGTGGGGAGTGGTTTTCAAAAGTGATTGCAGACTGAAGGCTAAGAAGAAGTAACTCTGACTGAAGTATGTATTTGACAAGGTTAGCTAAGAACCGGAATTGATTTTTATGAATTAGCATTTTTGGTTCTGGCTGTTGTGTTTACCATTGCTAGGTTTAGTTTCTAACGTATCTTAAAAATAATGCTCCCCAAATGAATGAAAAATATTTTTTGTGAAGTGTGGTACAGTTTTCTCCAGGTGTTGCCTACTAGTCTTATTCATACTATCTTTGCTTTAAAACAAAACTTTTCTTTTTTTTTTTTTTTGAGACGGAGTCTCGCTCTGTCGCGGCCCAGGCGGGAGCGCAGTGGCCGGATCTAAGCTCACTGCAAGCTCTGTGTCCCGGGTTTACGCCATTCTCCTGCCTCAGCCTCCCGAGTAGCTGGGACTACAGGCGCCCGCCACCTCGCCTGGCTAGTTTTCTGTATTTTTTTTTGGTAGAGACGGGGTTTCACCGTGTTAGCCAGGATGGTCTCGATCTCTTGACCTCGTGATCCGCCCGTCTCGGCCTCCCAAAGTGCTGGGATTACAGGCTTGAGCCACCGCGCCCGGCCTAAAACAAAACTTTTCTATGCTCGAAACATCTGTGATAAATCATGAGTTTACCACTAATAATGGTGGGTCATATATTTGTGTTTTCATATGCCAGGTACTGTATTGAGACCTTGCCATGGGTTATCTCATTTAATCCGAACAGTGGCCTGTAAGGAAACCAAACTCAGGGCTCCCATTTTACAGAAGAGGCAACTAAGGTTTGGGGAAGTTAAATAGTGTGTACCCAAGGTTGCTTAGGTAAGCCTAGGACTCACATTTGAATCTAAGTCTGTCTGATTTCATTTAACCACTGAGTTATATGTGCTCTTTCCAATGTTTCATATGTCTTTTTATTAAACAAAAATGGCCCAGGATTTAGTTTTACTTGTGCATAGATCCTTAGAAAGTTCATCAGTTAAATGAAGAAAGACTTTGTTGTGAAACAACATATTAAGACTCCCCTAAAAGGAAATTACAGAAACCCACTTTAAACTAGCCAGCATGGCTGGATGCAGATGCCCCAACAATAAATACTGTGCTCTTCCTCTCTGTGTCTCCTCCTTTCTCCCCTTCCTCTTTCCCCCTCCCTCCTTATCCCACTGCCCCACTCCCTCTCATTCTGCTTTTCTTTGAGTGTTGGCCCATTCTTTCTTGTCAAAGAAGCAGCCCCAATTGAAACCAGCTCCACTTGTGATTCTAGGAAGAAAGAGCATCTTCCCTGGGAAGAAAAGGCCTGGGGAAGACTCTTGGTCATGGGGACTGGGGGCTGTGACAGAACTTTGTGAACTACATGGAATGTAGCTGTTGGGGTGACAACATATCCATACTTCATCTTGATAAGACATATCATTTGATGGTTGAAAGCTATAATTATTTAAAGATAATACACAATATATTTTAATAGCTTTATCAAAATATAATTCACATACCATAGGACTCACTCATTTATTTATTTATTTATTTTTGAGACGGAGTCTCACTCTGTCACCCAGGCTGGAGTGCAGTGACGCCATCTCGGCTCACTGCAAGCTCCACTTCCCAGGTTCACTCCATTCTCCTGCCTCAGCTCCCCAAGTAGCTGGGACTACAGGTGCCCGCCACCATGCCCAGGTAATTTTTTTGTATTTTTAGTCGAGACAGGGTTTCACCGTGTTAGCCAGGATGGTCTCAATTTCCTGACTTCGTGATCCACCCACCTCGGCCTCCCAAAGTGCTGGGATTACAGGCGTGAGCCACCGTGCCTGGCAGGACTCACCCATTTAAAGTGTACAGTTCAATGGTTTTAATGTATTCACAGATGTGCAGTTATCACCGCTGTCTAATCTGTAACATTTCCATCACAAAAAAAACCCTGGACCGATTAGCAGTCACTCCCCATTTTTTCCAAACCCCTCGGCCTTAAGCAACTGCTCGTCTACTTTCTGTCTCTATAGATTTGCTTATTCTAGACATTTTATGTGAGTGGGATCATACGACATGCGGTCTTTTGTGTCTGACTTCTTTCAGTAGCATGTTTTCAAGGTTTATCTATCTTTGCGTATCATCATGCATTTCTTATTATTGCCAAACATTCCACTATATGGATATACCACATTTTATTTGTCTGTCTGTTGATGGACATTTGGGTTGTTTTCACTTTCTTGCAATTATGAATAATGCCGCTGTGAACATTTGTGTAGAAGCTTTTGTGTAGATTTAAGTTTTCAATTCTTTTGTGTATATGCCTGGTAGTGGAATTGGTCATACGATAACTGTGCCTAACATTTTG